ACTGGCACTGTGTGAACGCGCCCTAATTCGAATGCTGCCGTTGCAGATCATCACTGGTGCACCACTTAGCGGTTGAGCCCCGGTCGTGGTCGCCGATCGCGAAGTCTAGACGCGGTCTTAGGTCGGTAACCGTAAACATTGGCAGATTCGACCCTGTCCCTTTGGGGTCAGAAATACCTCATTCACTGAGGAATATTCTACGTAAGACGTGGCCTGTTCATTATTTTATTACCATTACTCCGATTACACAAACTCCTAACCTACATCTAGAATCTCTTTTCATTGTTGCAGGGCATGTTGTCCCCTCACCTCAAGTCGCCCAATTCGTGCTTGCTGTACAAATTCGTCTTCAAGCGTTATCTAGAAGAAAAGTCGTTTACAGACGAGGAATTAGCCTGTGTGCTTGATGAGGTTAGTAGCATAGCATGTGTTAACTTCTTCTACTGTCTCGTTCATACTTTGCAAAAGTGGAGAATGTGCGACTCGACTCGAGGGAATGCACGAAAAGGAGAGCGTGTTCAGGGGCGATAGGAGCGCGGCACGACAAGGGCACATCGTTGTTGGGCAATTCCCAACAGAAGGGTCGTATTTGGGCTGAGAAAATTTTTTATTGGTAGATGATTTTTTCGCTTCACGGACGTTGTAAAAAAAAGGGGGGGGGGTGAGTTACAGGGCTGTTGTCAACCAGACGTGCTCTTGCTGCGAGGGTCCATGGTTATTTTCACGAGGCATCTACCAGTCCAGTAGTTGAAGGGAGAAGGTAAAGGAGGAGATCAGAGAAGGAAGGAAGGGAAAGAGGGAGGGAGGAAGAAAAAAGGAAAAAGAGGAGAGGCTTCTCGGTTGACAAGTGCCCTGAGACGGTTTCGATATCGAGTCTCAGATTCGGGCAATTCTGCCGTTCAGACTCGGTCGATTCCCATCGACAGGCAGGTTGTCGCCTATTCTTCTGACTGCGAATTCTCCAGATCGAAACGTGCGTTTCCCTTATCGAGCATTCTCCGGAGTAATGTTCGCGGAGTTTGAACGCGGTCTAGGAAAACGCTCGTTTAAGGTGACTAGCGCTGTTCGTCGATACGCCAGGTTGGGAAGGACGGCGTCGCGAGGGTCTAACGTTAGCGCTCCAGAACAAAGAGTGGGTTTTACTTTGTGCAGTTATGTTCACTTTGAAGTTACCTTTTTCACTTGCATAACATTTCCATTGACTGCTAATGTCTACAGTGTCCTAGATTTCTTGGTGTCTTCTTATTAAATGAAACTCTTCCAATGTTGCCATCATCCTTGCCCTTCCCACCACCGATCTAGTTGCTTCATTTCTGCGAGAGTGAGCAGCTAGATAGGTGAGTCCCTCCCATACGCCTTACGCCTCTCCCTTCCGAGTCCATCTTACAGCATTTGCAGTGATCCACGTGGTTCCCGGGAAGAACCCGTCCGCCTGGACCATAACACCCACTTGCCTGTAATCGGTCAGTTGTTAAAGGCTGTATATTTCCAATGGTGTTGGTCACTTTAGCTAAAACTGATGTTCAAGTATGAGTTTGATAGATTTATTGTGTATGTATGTTATAGACCTGAAGAAGGGCTTATGGCCCGAAACGTCGTCAAATAAATATTTCGAAGAGTTTCATTTAATAAGAAGACACCAAGAAGTTACTACCCAATGAAACTCAGGAACCCTATGATACTATCTAATGTCCTAGATTTATTGAAAGATGTTGCGTGACCCTGTCCGTATTAGAAAATTTCGCTGCTGGTAATACTGTTACTGGTTTTTGAGAATTGAAACCTTCTTCATTTTTTATTAACCTGGAAGTAACCGGAATGTCTGATCCTTTCAAGTGCCTTGTTTCGCAGAATTCGGTGTCATATTGAAGCTTTAGTAATGATTAAAGAGACCGACGCATATCAGGATTATACTTTCTGAATAATTGGGTGACTTCGAATGTGAAATTCTTGAGTCGAGCATCTTGGTATACAATCGACGCTTGTCGCTGCATGGAGCCGTACCAAGAGTGATCGACGGCACGTAGCGCTTCACTGTTTGCGACATGAAGAGTTAGTCCTCGCACACGTCACAAGATCTATGAGATGTAATGACTTAATAACTTTCTACACGAGCATCAATGAACGGCGACTAAGAAACATATGTCGTGTCCTTGCACGATCGCAAGCGAATCATGCTCTCGAGACTTGAAGTAGTATGTGACAGCAGCACAAAATTCACGTATCTGTTGGGCAGACCGAGTCATTGCACCACTAAGCAAAAAGTGTATATCGTCTATTTCAAGCGCCGTTGTGAAAAGGCCCGGTGAGCAATCTCCCATCGACCGGCTGTGTCTGTGTGACACGCCTCCGCCATACTAGCTCGTTAGAGAAGAATACGTATTATAGAGAGCTCAATTCGTGAGAGAAGGCAGGCGTTTGGCCAAGCAGAGCTCAGCCGCTGCCAACATGTTATTATGAAAACCCATCCGCATCATCTGCACGAACTTGGTCTTGGTCTTCTAGCACTGTCTCAAGATATAACATACAATGAGAGCCACGGTCACGCTTCCAGAGCAGGCGCGTGGTCGCTCTAACGTACAGCATTGGCCACGCTACGTAAATCCGAGCTAGCTAGGTTCCTTTAAACTACGAAGTCTGTCATGTTAACACCAGACTGTATAATATAAGATTAGATAACACTGAGATGCTCACAAAAACCACGACATCTGCCGCTGAGAGTTAGTTCGTTGCCAATTCGTTCTCGACACGGTCTGATAGACAGCGAGAAGGCCTCGCATCGCAATCGCACATGAGCGATAAGAAATTCAATTAAAAAAGACAAGGCCATCGAAGAAGAGCTTTTCTCAACTGTATATAGAGCAGGCGTTTCATGCCGCATGACAGCGGGCTATACCGTCCAGCGAAATGCAGCAGCGACTGGAGATGGAGTCGAGCATCTTGGTATACAATCGACGCTTGTCGCTGCATGGAGCCGTACCAAGAGTGATCGACGGCACGTAGCGCTTCACTGTTTGCGACATGAAGAGTTAGTCCTCGCACACGTCACAAGATCTATGAGATGTAATGACTTAATAACTTTCTACACGAGCATCAATGAACGGCGACTAAGAAACATATGTCGTGTCCTTGCACGATCGCAAGCGAATCATGCTCTCGAGACTTGAAGTAGTATGTGACAGCAGCACAAAATTCACGTATCTGTTGGGCAGACCGAGTCATTGCACCACTAAGCAAAAAGTGTATATCGTCTATTTCAAGCGCCGTTGTGAAAAGGCCCGGTGAGCAATCTCCCATCGACCGGCTGTGTCTGTGTGACACGCCTCCGCCATACTAGCTCGTTAGAGAAGAATACGTATTATAGAGAGCTCAATTCGTGAGAGAAGGCAGGCGTTTGGCCAAGCAGAGCTCAGCCGCTGCCAACATGTTATTATGAAAACCCATCCGCATCATCTGCACGAACTTGGTCTTGGTCTTCTAGCACTGTCTCAAGATATAACATACAATGAGAGCCACGGTCACGCTTCCAGAGCAGGCGCGTGGTCGCTCTAACGTACAGCATTGGCCACGCTACGTAAATCCGAGCTAGCTAGGTTCCTTTAAACTACGAAGTCTGTCATGTTAACACCAGACTGTATAATATAAGATTAGATAACACTGAGATGCTCACAAAAACCACGACATCTGCCGCTGAGAGTTAGTTCGTTGCCAATTCGTTCTCGACACGGTCTGATAGACAGCGAGAAGGCCTCGCATCGCAATCGCACATGAGCGATAAGAAATTCAATTAAAAAAGACAAGGCCATCGAAGAAGAGCTTTTCTCAACTGTATATAGAGCAGGCGTTTCATGCCGCATGACAGCGGGCTATACCGTCCAGCGAAATGCAGCAGCGACTGGAGATGCGCAACGTGTTCTAGCGAAAGAAACCGGAAACCAGAGAAAAGGGGTGGCTGCGAGAGGGTGAAGTATGAACAGCGCTCGCAAACAAATAAAAACTAAACATACCCACGTAGGAGAGTGCTCACAAGAACTTCTGATGGCGCATTTCATTGTCTTAATGATCAAAAAGGATCTTACCTGTAATATTACAGTACCGTTGGCGCATTTCGTGTCCAGAGAATTAAGGTAGGCCAGGTATGAGGCAAAGACAGAAAAGGGAACGCGCTAAACTGTCCTAAAAGTATGGAGAGTTACCAATCTCTTCAGGCGAGCCCCTGATTTTTTTTCTGAGGAGCAAATTTCCTTTCGAAAAGTCATCTGAAGAGGAGTGGAACTCCTTTTCAAAGAACTAAATTCTTATGGTGGGTTTGTTCACCATCTCATGAAGCGTCCAGCTCATGAATGTCCACGCACTAGGCAGCGTTCAGAGCTCGCGAGACGCGCGCTGTAACGTGCGATGACGCGCTGCAGTGCGCTGTGACTCGCGTTCGTGCGCTCCAATTACAACAACGCTCCAAGGCTATAAACGCGAACGTAGCCGCAGATCGCCAGTGTCGATCGATACCAGTCTCGTCTAGGAGCTCACTGGACACGCGGACTAGAATCGATCGACGCCGCAACGCTCGCGTCTATAGCTTCGGAGCACTGTTGTTATTGAAGCAAATGGACGCGTATCACAGCGCACTACAGCGCGTCGTCGCAAGCGCGTGCCTCGCGAAGTTTGAACGCTGCCTTATGTGTACAATCCAGTACACATGTATAATATGTCAAGTATGCAACACTGCTTTCTTATTCCTTTTTTTTCTTTCGTTATGTTCTTATGAAGGAAATCGCAATCATGTTATATCCAATGAGCTTTTCCTTTATAGATTTATTACGACATAATCGTAAATCCAATCCCGACACCACTGTACCGTTTCCTATTCAATTCATATCCAAGCAAGAGCGACATTCCTGCTGATGACTTTCAATCGATTTATGTTGGGGTTGGCTGGCTTTTTTGCTTGAACTTGATAGCAGTATGTATTTCAATACGAATTTATTAGCTCACTTCAGTTGATGGAGGTGGCCAAAAGATTGGATGCTCTGAGGGCAAGTCGTGGTCTTGGCTACAACGTTAATTCGAAGCAAGAGGTAAGTGTCCTATTTATGAATGGTTGTGCATGGATTCCCAAAGACTGTACACTTTTCCATTCGGTCTTCAAAGCCAACTGGATTTTGTTCTTTGATTATAGTTCCAAGGAAGTTCAACTAAGTTTTGGAATACTGAGCTTACTAAATTTCTGAGGTGAATTGAAGCTGCTCCAGAACTGCATCCTCGAAAGGTCCTCTAGAACATTAGCTTTTGGGATTATTCGGAGTCTGATTGTGGTCATGATTGTCGTGATCTCGGCTACAGTTTTTGTTCAAGGAGACGAACTTTATAGGGTTTTGGAGTCAATGCCAAAGATGGCTGCTTTATTCATCACAAGCCCGTAAGCTAATCCACTGGTGTTTTCTTGTGAGTATATGACCTAGTGAGAGAACTCGCGACGCAGCACTGACACCTGGCCTCGGCGTCAAAAGTGAATACCATATTCCAATCAGGATGGTAGAAAATCCCTGCAGTGAAGGCTGTACAATAGTTTACAGTCCATATCTGAAGGTAAGAAGGGCGCGCACACGTCCAGTGTAGGCAGAGAGACACAGACTTATTCATAAGAGTGAGCCGGCACGGAAATATGCAGCCGTAGCTGAAATGCGCTTTTTCGATTCGGGAGCAGTATGTGTGGGCTTATGAAACTTGAATCTTACAGTACTTGTGTCCTGCCGATGTTTCATTTGGGCTACAATATTGAAGTAAGATTCAAGTTGATGAAACGGATCATAGGCTTAACCGTGACAAGACGGATTCTGAGTGTGACCAGGCGTTCATTCTTCGCGATTTGGTGCCTCTGTTTCCGCTATCTAGAGAACCATATTGCCAATCATGAACCCACTGTAAGACCATAAGGTCGACGTAGAGTGAGATCGTAAGCCCTCCGCCTCAGCAAACTTCCTACATCTCTATTGTATTCTTTTTGTCTTTGAACTCTCATTTGTTCGTTTAGCAGTTTGTCTAGTACAGTACCTCCCCGCTTTGGAAAGGTTTGAGTTTTTAGATTAGTCCCGGTTATTCAATGAGTGATGATGGCGGCGATACTTGCGAATCAGATGAAGAAATAGTGGCTAAAAGCTCCGAGTCGCCGATTCCGTTGGAATCCCACGAGAAGACTTCTGAACAATCGAATCGTGGTGATTCACAGTCAGGGTAACCTTCCCAGCGAAAGAACGCTGGTTTCCCGACATTATGTCTAGGTTCATCACTGATTTTCAGGAATACGCGTAGTGACGACGAAAAGCTTGATGAAGTGGTCGCCAAGTTCAGCCATATCTCTCTCGAAACTAAGGTCGTGTTTTATGGAAGACTTACTACAATGACAGAGTGCTAACAATAGGCACTCAATTTTTTTAAAATTTTCTCCGAAATTTGGGCTCTATTTCCCATGATGGGCTTTTTAAATTTCCACTAATGTCACGGGAAATCGTACGATTCGATACCCAACTATATGGTATTGTTTTATCTCAAATAGCCCTGTAGCAGGGAGCGGGAGGTTGAACATGGCCATGAAGTTGCGGTTTGGCGCTGATGGTGGAATGCGTCACGCATTTAGCTTCCATTTATATCCTAGAAACGTCCGAGTGCATGTTTGAGTTGTAAAACGACTTCTCAGTGGCCAACCGCTTCTGTCAACCGGAACCGGTCACTTCAGAAGAGGAAATCCTAGCTGATTTGGATGTTTTGTGATCTCCCAGTCATCTATACTCGAAATCCCTGAGATCGGGTAGGCGTGGCCGCATGTTTCAACTCAACCTGAAGGTGTCTAGGCTTCTGGTGAGATACTTTCATCTTTACACAATCGCTGTCGTCTCTCTGTCCAGCAGAGAACAAGATGACAGTTGTCCCAGACTGGAATATTCCACGAGTAACCAGTTCCGTGTCAAACGCCACGCCTACTCTGGCCCAGGGGTAAGGAAGGAGTGTATATGTGATCCGATGTGTCCTGCCGCCGCAACAGGAAGCGTCCTATTTGCAGTGATACAATCGCTCAAACCGATGTTCTTTGTCAGTGGTTCAGAGCGCGTTCAGACTTCGCGATCGCGTGATCCAAGCGATCCGATCGCGCTGTCGCGAAGTCTGAACGCGCTCTCATATCACTCGTATCGTTGAACATGGTATCTATTTACAAGTGTGTGCCCTTCCAGCAAAATAGCGACGTGCTGGTAATATTTACATTAATAATGTTTTTGTTCAGGGATTACCTAACAAGGATGATCGCCCCTCTGATGCTCCCAACAAGTCGAGTTGCAAGGCGGCAGCAGCTGTTGTACGTCAAAATCCTATTTCTAATGATGGAAGCAGCCACACTAATCAAGCAGCTCTAGACACACGTCCCCTAAGGCCTGCGGAGGTAGAATTTATCCAAAAAGTTCGTAAAAAAAGACTTAAAATGTGTTGTTCTGCTGTATGCCCATTCCATTCGTTTCACGAATTATTCTGAACGAAATCAACGGTCTTCAGCTTAACCAGCTTCATGTTCTTTTTTTTATCCCAGGGGAAAGATTAACCATGGAGCGTATCCTAAGCCGAAGCGAACTCTAAAATACGGCACCGTTTCATTCCATGTATACCCCATCCCGCCAACCCTCCAATCGTTACGCTCATTGCAGCGAAGGGTAAGTAGAAAGAAGATGAAGAGTAGAAGTAGTTCAGCTGTTGGTAGAGAAAGCAGTAGTTTAATTCAAGCAGCGCCCATCGCAGGGATGCCACCATCCCCATTTCCTGTAGTTCCCTACTTTCCCCTCCTAGGGGGCTCTTTTAAAGCTTGATCAAGAGTTTTTGAATTTCTCGTAGCAGGCGCCGATCATCTGTAGTAGGCCCCGCCCAGTGTGTATATGCCTCCCTCTCCATGCGCCCACCCATTTCTTATCGTTCCTCACTTTTTCCGCTCTCCGGGCTAATGTGGAACTAGTTTACGAATTTTTTGAAACAAGCGGCTCCTGCTTAAGTGCAAGCTCCGCCCCCAATGGGTGGGGCGCGACTATGTTCGTGTGTGTTCTACATCTTCTCACGTGTCCTACACAACTCACCCTCGACTCAGCCTCTCAGACTGGCTCTCCAGGTAATGCTGAATTTCCGGAATTCCTTTTATACATAGGAGGATCTGAGATATTTACAGTCATTAACATGCGGGGTCAATTAATTATCACGACGTTGCCTGAAAAACCTCCCAGATTTCCGAAGTGTGTCTTCTATACTTGTGATGCGCTCAGTGAGCAGGTCAAATCGGATATCCCTACATCTCTCAGTTTACCTGTTGTAAATTATGATTCACAACCTCTAATCATATTTTGGTTGTTTCTTTACTTATATGGAGCACTGTACACGACGCATGTGCCGTAGTGTTTCACTTTTTTTAAAATCATTTGCTTTACCTATTCTTGCTAACCCCGCTCAAATGTAGTCTTTTGAATTTACTTCCAGGTGAAAGAGATATGTACGAATGCTCTTAAAACCGGCCAATCCAACCACAGTAGAACCAGCTCGGATGCTAGTCCCTTTTCTAAGATAGGAAATGAGTTGCCCAGAGGTACGATATCACAACTCCTTCTTGGTGAACGAACAAGAGACCCTCTACAGGGTATAATACATCCGCAAAAAATGATTCAATCTCTTCGTTTCTTTTCAAGATGATAACAGCAATATCGTGCGTGCAGAGAGAAGGAGGGACATCACACCACCTGGACCTTTTTATGATGAAGACCGTATCCGTTTAACCGAGTATATCAAGCCTTACGGTAGGTTGGGACAATTTTCTTAGATAACATATAGCTTGTAAAGCTTGTTGTAGTATTCCAGCTGTACTTTTCACGGTACCATTCTACGAATTTGTTTTCATTTTAGAAGACGGACTTGTCTAAGTTCCTTTCACATTAATCATAGTGCTAGCGATAAGTACTAATTTGCATTTTCCAGGGAATGTTATTAGGTCATTTGAAGTAAGACGTTTCTCGACTAATCTGTTTTTCGATGGTAATCACGAATTTTCTAAATATCATGCCTTTCCTCCTCCCGCTAAACTTTCGCAAATTGTTCCGAAAGGTCCGCAGCAGATACGGAAGACGTAGCCGTTGTTATTGTCAAAAGACGCGTCACACGGTATAAATTCCATTTCAAAAGGCCCGTTCAAACTACCACTTTCCCTTGTATACCCTAGTTCGCTGCGGATGAAGGGGCATGTCAGGCAGTGTGAAGGTGTCACGGCGCCAAACCCGTTCCATGCCAGTTGTTGAAGCGGATGTGCGACAACAAGTGGTCGAAAACGAGTGACGAACGACATCATGGTGTCTTTTCACTTGCTTGCTTCAACAACTAGTGGAGAACAGCATTGACACCGTGCCAGACTTGCCTGGTGCACCTCTTCGTCAGCAGCGAAAGAGACTAAATATCACAAGACTCTCAGTTGAGGTGCTCAAAATTGCTCGGAAAAGCAAAAAAAAATCGAAAGCGTCGTTCAAATATTTCGTAATGATCAAAGTGGTGTCCATAAAAGTGATAGATCTTCAGACGGCATCAGAGTGTCGCTAACTGGATCTCCTTCAAAAAACTGTGATGGAAAACGTCTCAATAGACCTCTTGGTGTTACTTTTGATGAAGCTTTGGAGCAGTGGATTGTAGCAGATACTGGTAATGATCGGGTATGTGATATTTGCTTTTTTTAGTCCTGCCTGAAAGATAATCTCTTGAGCATCTCAGTTATACAAATAATCGTTCATAAATTCAACTTTTTTCAAAAGTGGATATATTGAAGGTTGTGCTGGCTCCCAGTGGCAACGTGCTGACGTCAGCGAAGATGCTAGCTCCAAGCGCGGTCGTCGTTCTCGAGCCAGGATATTCTTTTGCTGTTCTGACCAAGTTTGACATAAGAATCATGTACCATAATGGAAAAAGAATCTGATGTGGTAATCGGCCCACTTCTGGATTTGCAAGGGTTAGTTCAGGAAAAGCGTCACTTCCTTCTCTGCTGCTTTGCATGTTGAAAAGTGCCATGGCGTCTAGCTATTGCTCAAAACTCCCATCCTTCAGACGCATTCACTTCGCGGCCTACGAGGCCGTTGGAAGTGAAAGTGTAGGTCTTTCCGCGCTCGTAAGATTCAGGGATGCAAATCCCGACCTGTTCTCGGTTAGGCCACGCTAGCGCTTCTCCTTCCGGGGACGGTAATTAGCTCCAAATTCGTCTGGGAAAGGATGAGAACGTTCAACTGTATGATCAAGCTGGCTCCCGCGAGCTCATTGTATTACGCCACCTATCATTCAGTAAGGCCACTTACGATTCTGAATGGAAGTAGAGTGCATGAATGGCATTTCCTGAAAAGGAATTAGTTTGGGCGAGGACTGAGAATTTAATTCTTATATCCGTTAATCACTCGCAATATATACAGTATTCGATGAGCCACAGTGGCCTCTCACTCAAACTTGAAATTATAATGGCTCAACTTCCTCTCCTTTGACAACCCGCCTCAGGTTAAAGACAGCCCCGCGATAAAAGTCTCAGATGGATAGCTGCTTTTCCAAATTATGAAACAGTAGCTGATAAGTAACTCCGCAAAGAAGAAAACAGGCCAAGAACGTCTCCAAAGAACAACACAAATAAAATCACTCCCTCACAGTCACACCTCTCTGCGGTCTCTGTGGCAACCCCTAAGCTCACAAGATCTCTCTATCACATCTCGCAGTAGTTGATAACATCCAGTGGCAAAAGACAGAATACAAAAAAGAAACAACAAAAACGCAAGAGGAAAAACTCTGGTAGGAAAAAGGAATTTTATCAACAACGGTGTCTGAATTTGTGATTACGGTAGGGCACTCTTTTTGTGCGTCTGGTTTTGCATCACGAAAATTGCGGGTCACTCGGTTTTTAGCGCGTTTCACGCTCGCGAAAATAATGGGTTGAATTGAATGGATATACGCTCCAATATAAACTGTTAATGAAGGAGAGCAGAATTATCCAGGGGCATTAGCAAGTGTCGCGCCCCAAACTAAGAACAAGTGGTGGCCTCCGTCGAAGGACATCTAGGCAAGTACAGGGCGGTCCGACTGAGGAGAGTTAGAACTTAGCAGCTTGAGGGCGGCTATAGGCAGCCCCACGCCCACAAATAGAGTCGCGAAAGGT